AAAAAAATTAAATAAGACATTTTAAATAATTTAGACACTACTGTTCAAAAGTAGCATTTTTAAAAATATTTTCCAAAGAAGCTATATATTTAATCAGAAGTGCAGTAAAAACAGTAGGGTTTATGAAATATTATTACAGTTTAAAATTGTGAAAAATGTCAGTTATATTTTAATGTTATTTACTTCTGTGGTGGCAAAGCTGAATTTTCTGTATGATAATGGCAATTATGTTCTACAGCAACCGTTCCACTGTCACTCAATGTTGCTTCTTGGCAACAAACATATTTCTCATAATAAAAAAATATAGATGACTTTGATATGAAGATTAGTCACTAACAAATGTGAATATTATTTCTTTCTGAGGCTCACTAAAAAGGGGAAAAAATGTTTTCTCCAAATTATGTACAGTACAAAGCCCAAAAATATGTTAAAATGTATACCAGGACATATTATGACCAAGGTAAAGCTTTTATTGGTTTGTTGTGTTTTTGTTGTTGTTATTATTAAGCATTTTACCATCATATATGTGTTAAGCAAAGAAATGGGTTTGTTACCCTGTGGGTGCAATGTGCAATACTTTTAAAAGAACATTAAAAAAATAAACAAACGGATCTTTTGTGGACCCAATAAAATGCAGTACTAGAGCATAATGAAACCAAGGGGGAAAAAAAGAGTTTAAGTTTTGGAGAACAAATTAAAGTCTGCATTCGTTCTTTGATACTTCTTCAGTGATGAAAGTTTGATCGTTAAAAGTTTGTGGATACATAAACGTTAGAAGAGTTAAAACAAGGGTCATGTAAAAGGCAGTTTACACAGATGGTACTGAAATGCCCCGAGGACCTATCGGTGATGTAGAATGCTGTTCAAATAGAAACATATTAAACCCTGCATAATTATATCTGATAGCGGACTCGGATATCTGTGACAACTTAATAAGAATGTCATTGTTGTCCTCTATGTGGCCATATGGGCTCATCTGACAGAAGCTCTTCCATTACTGATCACAGCCAGCAGTGGGAGGTGAACAAGCGTGTTAGCTGACACCAAAGATCAGCAACAGAAATGAACTTTTGAAACGTTCAGTTATTTTGACCAAGTGTATAAATGCGGCTGTTAAAAAGAAATGAATGTCTATGCCACAGATGGTCATCATTACCACCAGTTTGACTCTTTTCTTTGTTTGCGAACATAAAATTTGTGCTTAAAGTATTCCATTGGTCTGGAGTCGGACAGAAGTTAAAATATTTGATAGCATAGACAAGCTCGATTAATTTGATCACATTAGTCAACACCAAGCTTGTGTTAACTGTTGGTCGATAAAAATGTTCACCAATTAAAAGGTTTTCTATTTTTATATTTTTCAACCTATCATTTATTCCTGTGACGCAAAGCTGAATTTTTAGCATCATTACTCC